ACCAGGGGCTTCTTTAGCAGAGTCTGGTGGACCCAGCTTGTACGCAGGGCACGGCAGGAGAGGCAGGAGAGGAGAGGCACTTAGCCCCGAGGAGGCGAGGACATTGCAGTGCATGGAGTTTGGGTACCAGCATTGAACTCCCAACCTGCCCCCATGTCCTAGGGCACCTGAGTTTGTGAACCCCTCTCCCTTTGCTTCTGAAACCACTCCTTTTTCAGGTGTCCTCCTTTCCCACCTTTCCACTTACAAGTAGATATTATTTTTGAAAAGGGGCCTCAATGCAAAACTCTTTAGTTCATGAATTCTTATGTTCACTTACTAATTACAAAATATCAGTTGAGCATCTAACACATGCCAGGAGCCTGCTGGGGGATAGAGCAGAGAACAATGTAGAAGGGGCCCCTGCTCACCACCGGCTGAATACCAGTGAGATTGAAGTCTTTCAGCAGGCGCCCACAACCTTTCATTCAGGAACCTGTAAACCTCTACTCAAAACCTGTTGCTACATGCTGTGGGGACAGTCTTTCCTCTCAGGCGGATCAGGGTGGAAGCCACAAGAACAGTGACAAGGACCATTGATCAAGCACTAACTACTTTGATACACTCATTGATATCCCTATTTTATAGATGAGGAAACTGAGGCGCAGGGAGGTTTACCCAATATTCCCCAGCTAACAATCACAAAGCCAGTATTTAAATCAGGTGTTCTGACTGCAGAAGTTGCCTGCTAGTCACTACATTAGAGGGTCTGTCTGCCTGCCAGATACCAGGCATTATGCTGGGCTTTGCACAAGTCCTGGCATTGGATTCTCCTAACAACCCCACCAAAGGGTGATGTTTATTCCCAATTTATTTATTTAACTATTTTTTTAAAGAAATTTTATTGGGGAACAGTGTATTTTTCCAGGATCCATCAGCTCCAAGTCAAGTCATTGTTTTCAATCTAGTTGTGGCCAGGGCGCAGCTCACTGGCCCATGTGGGAATCAAACCAGCAACCTTGTTGTTCAGAGCACGCGTGCTAACCAACTGAGCCATCCAGCCACCCATGTTTATTCCCAATTTAGAGATGCAGAAATGTAGGCCCAGGAGAGTTCAGTGATTAGCCCAGGGATACATAGTCAGGGACTGTCAGCGTTGGGATCTGAGCTCGCATCTGTCCAGCTCCAAAGTGATTTTCCTTTAGGAGGGAAGGAGGTGAGGAGAGAAGAGGGATGAAGAGTCAGCTGTGGGGAGAAGGAGCCTGTGAGGGAGGAGAGGTTAGAGGGAGAACAAGAAGATGTCCTCAGGATGGGGTGGCAGAGCAGAGCTGACACTGGAGGAGGTGTGAAGGAGGCCTTGTGGGAGCAGCAGGAGGTTAATGCAGAAAGAGCAGTTTTCTGTGCAGAGCTGTTCAGAAGCTGGACTGCAAATCTCTAACCAAGGCATGAGCAGACTATGAGCCTGGGGAGGTCCTCAAGTCGGGCAGCGGTGCTTTCCTGAGGACATGGGGAAGGGAACAGGGCCTCTGAGCGTGAGGAGACCCCAGCCTGTTTGTTGACAAAGGGGGGAGACGCTTGAGCCAGAGCAGAGGGAGGCAGTGTGTGTGTGTGTGTGTGTGTGTGTGTGTGTGTGTGTGTGTGTCTATGGAGGGTGCAGGGGTTATATCCAGAGCATGGGAGGGCTGGACTCAAGGAGGAGAGACCCTCTTTTTCTAAGATCAGAAGAAAGCAGGAAAGGTGGGTAAATTTATAGAGACATTCTTAGGCAGTAGCAGCGGCGATAGGATGATTTGTAAAACCGGGATGCCCATCTTTGTCCTCATACCTCCCGCTTTGTGATGAGACGGTATTAGTTTCCTGGGGCTGCCAGACAAATGACCACAAGCTGGGGGACTTCAATCAGCAGAAGTTTACTAGTCACAGTCCTGAAGGCCTCACGTCCGAAATCTAAATGTTGCAGGGTTGGTTCCTTTTGGAGGCTCTGAGAGAGAGTCCGCTCTAGGCCTTTCTCCTAGCTTCTGGTGGTTGCTGGTAATAACTGGCATTCCTTGGCTTGTAGATGCATCACTCCAACCTCTGCCTCCATGTTCACATGGCGTTCTCTCCTGTGTGTGTGCCTGTGTCCAAATTCCGCTCTTCTTATGAGAACACCAGTCATTGGATTAGGGCCTACCATAATCCAGCATGACCTCATTTTAACTTGATTACATCTGCAAAGGTTTTATTTCCAAAGAAGGACAAATTCACAGGTACTGGGAGTTAGGATTTTAACATATCTTTTGAGGTGTGAGAGATACAATTCAACTCAGAACAGGGCACAAAGAAGACAGTGTGCGGGAAGGTTCCCTGAAGAGTATACAATGCTACAGAAATACAAGATCATACCAAGATCAATCACTGTTTAAAGGAATTCTAAAGTTGAATATATTTATAAAGTAAACTGTTTCCTCCAGAGTTTATGTTTTGCATAAAACCCCAGAATTTCCAATAAAGCGTTTGTTGAAAGTACTGTCTATCACTGCACAGCCTCTGGGAGAAAGAAATCTTAGCAAATGAACTTCCTTACTGATTGCTTCCCAGGGAAGACTTCCAGGGACAAAACACACATGCTCCCCACCTTCTTTCTAGAGGTTACTGGAAGAGCGTGCCTCCCACCTGCCCCCCTCCTATCTCAGGCACCCGTTGGATGGGGACTTACTGTTGGTTCTAACCATAAACCAAATTAGTCTCAACTTCTCCTCAGCCCCCAACCCCCTTTCACCTTCCTCCCACCCCCTAGATTTCTAGTTAATTCAACTAAGAACAGAGGTCCAGGTGTGTCCCGAAGCGTGGGTGCCTTTGTGGATGATTTAGGTTCTGCAGCTGCTGTAATGGAAGTAGTGACCAGAAGGGGGAACCACCTCTTGGGGGCAGGAAGGGGACGAATAAGCTACGGAGCCTGTCTGAACCACTGGCCCTCTGCATAATCCAGTCTTTCCCTCTCCTAGAACCTTGCTCAGCTATAGAAGCCCAGACTCTGAACAGGGAAGCTTCTTTTTTTTTTTTTTTTAGCTGAGCCACCCTGCCACCTGTTGGCAGCTCAGCTTGGGCTGGGACTCGAACCGCTGTTGCTCAGAGCTCACACTTTTGAGCAAGCTCTTAACTAACTGAGCCACTTGGCTGGCCCTACAGGGAAGCTTCTTAAAATAGTTCAGTTCTGCCATTTTGGAGTCCATTTTGGGTCATGGAGGCCTGAGAGTTTGGTCAACATTATGGACCTCTATCCTAGAAATATATGTAAATGTCCACAAAAAAAGTTCAGATAATTTCAAAAGCTTCACTGACACCCTCAAGCTTATTCATGAACACAAGCTTAATAACCATTGACTGAGTATACACTTTCTCCGCCCTATTTTCCTGAAAAAACTAAGATCAGCCAGGGTAACTGATTTGCTCCCATGTGGTGTAGCTACTTAAAGGGAAACCCAAAACTGAAGTGTAAATTCTGATACTCTTGTTCTAACTACTATATATAGAGTTTGTTTCCATTAAACAGAAGTAACTCCTCCCCTTTAAAGAAGCATCATCTGGAAGAGAACTTTGCTTTTGGGGGTAAGAGAGTAAATGATGAGGGAGGGTGTGATAGTGTTAATAGGAGAAGCACCTATGC